TATTTGAAGGCAGAAATGGCAGCTCAGACCTCCCAGGGTAAAGAGAAGGCGTACTTGATATTGAGCCTAGTAGATTGATGGAGGCGCGAGAGTCGTGACTGATGACACGACACTGGGATCGACGGCGTGAATGGTGGCGATTGCAAGCCCGATTTTTTGAATATGATACTGAAACAACCAATACTCCACAACCGTTATGAACTATTGCGGCGTTTACTAAAAAAACGCCACTAAATTACAGAACTATTACGACGTTTGATAAAAACGCCACTACTGTCCAAGTCTATAGCAACGTTTGTATGAAAATGCCTCTATAGTGCTACTCTATCGCGGCGTTTACATAAAAAGGTCACAAAATTCCTATTCTTTCGCGGCATTTTTACACAAACAATACTAAAGTAATAGTATTTTTACGGCGTTTGATAAAAAACGCTGCTAAAAATCATAAATTAAACCCTTTATCAGGAAAGAATACCCAAAATAATTTGAAAGGGGAACAAAGTGAACCCTTTGAAAGTGGATGGGGTAAAAACAACTAATTAAACAAATAATTAAAATACCTGAAGATCTTCAGGAATTTTATCTAGGGAAAATTTGAGGGCGGCAACGGTATCATTGAGTAGCTTAGTTAGTTCAAGAGAATAATGGAAACGAACATCTTTCAATAACTCTTGAACTTTAAACTCCATGGAGGATATGCATATTTCAGTCTCCATGGTTACTGGTGTAAAGGGATGGGAGAATAATGGTGATTTCAGTCTCTATGTGACAAACCCTTGGCGGAGAAGGTGCCTTCACGCGGTTGATCGAGTTACGGATCGAAACATTGTTGCAGAGTGTTGAAGCTGAAGAGCACAGAGAGAGGTGCAGTGGCAGTAGTGTTGAAGAAGGAAATCTGAATTCAGTGGTGGTAAAGTAGAGAGAGAAGAGAGAAAATGAAACATTTTGATTTTTCAGAAAGCGAGGGAGCGGGATTGAAAAAAATACGTGAAGGGGAAAACATGAAAAAGGGTGCGGAAAACTTTAAACTTTAGTAGCATTTGTGTTTAAAAACGCCTTTAAAATACGAGTCTATTGCGGTGTTTGTATAAAAATGCCACTAAAGTACGAGTATATAGTGCCATTTTTATTAAAAAACACCATTAAAGTACTACTATACAACAACGTTTGTATAAAAACACCACTAAAGTATGAGTATGTAGCGGCATTTTTATAGAAACGCCACTAAGGTACAACTATGTCGCGGTGTTTGTTGAAAAATGCCACTATAGATTATACCTATTGTGGTGTTTGTATAAAAACGCCACTACAGAACTAATCTATTGCGGTATTTATTAAAAAATGACACTATAGATGAACCCTATTATGACATTTATATAAACACTGCTAAAGTACTACTCTGTAATGGTGTTTGTTAAAAAACGCCACTATGGATGAACTTATTGCGGCGTTCGTATAAAAATGCCACTAAAGTACTACTCTATCGCGGCTTTTTGAATAAAAACGCCGCTAAAGTTACCATTTTGTGGCGTTTGGAGTGTAAATGTCGCAATATGATTAAATTTAGTGGCGTTTACTCAAAAAACGCCATTGTAGAAGAATTTTGTTGTAGTGTACCAACAAGCTTACTACTTATAAAATCACGAATGTCATTCACAATGTCATCAACACTACGATTAACATTTCGAAAAATCCTATTATTCCATTTTTTCCAAATAGAGTAAATAAACCCACTCCAAACAAGCTTCAAAATCAATATAAGAAGGGACTTACCCTGAAGGTATGAGCACACCTATTCTAGCTCACATTCCCAGCCCATAATACGATTGTCCAATCTACATAAAATTAAAATTTACCTCCAAACACTAGCTGCAAAAAAGGAAATCAAAGAACAAGTAGTCCATGCCCTCATTTGCCAAGTCGTAAAGAACACATTCATAATTTAACATCAATCCCATATGAGCCAATCTATCTCTCATAGGTAGCCGTCGAGGAAAGCCATCAAAGTAATCAATGCATGCTTAAGAATGTACAAAGGGAACCAAATCAAATTGTGCCAAATGACTCGTTCCTCCTCTTCTCTAATCTCCCCCTAAATCTGCTTAGTTGATTTCACCATGTTAGAAGGAGAACCAACAAACAACTTATGCCCAATTCTCTTAAGGGAGAGGATTTTTCAAAAACTCCAACTCATAGACATAGTGGCTTAATACTCTAGAAATCATTCCCTTCAATATAATAACACCTAATCCATGTTAGCCAAAGTGATTCCTTATTTGCAAGGATTTTCCTCATCAATTGAAGCGTGCATGCCCGATTCTAACAAGCAATATCCCTCAAACCGAGACCCCCTCAGCTTTCAAGAAGCAAATCATACTCCAAGCTACCCTTGCACCCGAAGTCGACTCGTATTGACCATTCCAAAAGAATCATATACACATTTATCCAATACGATGGATAACTCACTTAGGGAGACTAAGATGAAAACACCAATAATTGGTGATGCTAAATAAAACAGCTCGAATCGATTAGAATCTTCTTGCATAGTTAAGCTTCCTACCCTCCCAGTGACCAAGCTTTTCCCGAATCGTCTCCAAAAGACCATGATCATCCTTTTTCGAGAGCCTCATAGTGACTAACGACACCCCTAGGTATCTAACCAGGAGCTCCCCTTCTTGAACCCCAAAACAGCCTCGATGCAATCTAACTCCTCGGCCTCAATGCCTAAGTAGAATAGTTTACTCTTGCTCACGTCAAGCTTTAAGTCTGAGAATTCGTAGAACTTGTCCGACACACATTTAATATCACACACTGATCCCAAATCCCCCTTCGAGAATATTATTAGATCAAGTTCCAGATTCTCAGAGAGAGATAGTTTTGCAGCAGCAACACAGAAGAGTAGACAATCCCAATCTTTTGCTACTAGCTCGGGTAGAGCTTCTGTGGAAAGAAATCCATGTCAAACTTGTGGAAAATTACACCGAAGAGTATGTAGATTTTTCAATGGAGCTTGTTTTCTATGTGGCGATATGGGTCACTTTGCACGGCATTGCCCTAAGAAATCTGGTTATAATTCGGTATAGTCTGAAAGATCAGTGGCAGCCTCAAATAGAAACAGAGTAAGGGGTAGGTCCAGGGGACATACATAATCAATGCCAAGACAAGAGACTCAGGGAGTTGCTAGAATTTATAACCTTAAGACCACTGAGGATCGAGATGACCTTGAAATCATAACAGGTATTTTCCATCTTTATGATGAACATGTATTTATTTTAGTTGACCATGGTTCTACATATTCATACATTAGTACAAAATTGGTTAGAGCTAGAGGAATTCCTTTATAACCAATAGGGAGTGAGATGATAGTGATAAATCCTATGGGTCACAGTGCGAAAGTGTCTACAGTATGTAGCAAATGCCCTATAAAGATCCAGGGGATTGTGTTTTTGGCCAATTTAAGGGAATTACCCTTCAATGAATTTGAAATTATTCTAGGTATGGATTGGTTTTCCTCACATTATGGATGGTCGATTTGCATAAGAAAAGTTTTTTTTAAAGAACGCCGAAGGAGTAGAAATAGTAATAATCGGCGAATGATCAAAATCACCCTCGAATGTGATATATGCGATGACTGCGAAGAAGATGATGTCAAAGGGATGTATAGCTTTTCTAGCCAATGTGATATATACAAGAATTCCAGAAGTCGGATTAAATGATATTCCTACGGCTAGAGAATTTCTGGAGGATTTACCGGGAATGCCTCCAGATCGTGAGGTAGAATTCTGGATTGAGATTTATCCGGGTACTGAACCGGTTTCCATGGCTCCATATAGAATGACTCTGACTGAACTGCGAGAATTGAAAGCCTAACTATAAGAATTACTCGATAAAGGGTTTATAAGACATAATGTTTCTCATTGGGGAGCACTTGTTTTATTTGTAAAAAAGAAATATGGAACTATGCGATTATGTATCGATTACCGTAAGTTGAATAAGGTCACCATAAAGAAAAAATATCCTCTTTCGAGGATTGATGATTTGTTTGACCAATTGAAAGGAGCATCGGTGTTTTTTAAGATAGATTTAAGGTCGAGGTACCATCAGTTGAAGATCAAAGAAGATGATATTTCAAAGACATCTTTTTGTACTAGGTATGGGCATTATGAATTTTATAGTAATGCCATTTGGTTTGACTAATGCACCAGTGACATTCATGGATTTGATGAACCAAATATTTCATCCATACCTAGACCAATTTGTGGTGATATTTATAGATGACATCTAGGTATATTCCAAGTTAAGAGAAGAGCATGGTGTTCATCTTCGAGTAGTTCTTCAGACGCTCTGCGAGAAGAAGTTGTATGCCAAATTGTCAAAGAATTTTGTTTAGCCGAGGTTGCTTTCCTTGGTCACATAGTTTCCATAGAAGGTATTCGAGTAGATCCAAGAAAGATCCAAACAATAGTCGATTAGCACTCCCCAAGGAAGGTTTATGAAGTCTAAAGTTTCTTGGGACTTGCTCTTATTATAGACAATTTGTAAGGAATTTCTTAACGTTAGCCTTGCCTCTAACTAAGTTGTTGAAGAAGGATGTGTCTTTTGTATGAACGAAAAAGTGCTAAGAAAGTTTTGAAGGGCTCAAGAGAATATTGACGGAAGCCCCGATACTTGTACAACCGGAGTCGGGAAAGGAATACATGGTGTTTAGTGACGCATCCCATAATGGATTATGGTGTGTTCTGATGCAAGATGGAAATGTTGTAGATTACGCTTCCAGACAATTGAAGAATCATGAGAAAAATTATCTGACGCATGATTTAGAATTTGCGGCAGTTGTGTTTGCACTGAAAATTTGGCGTCATTATATGTATGGTGAGCGGTGCAATATTTATACAGATCACAAGAGTCTGAAGTATTTATTAAAGTAGAAAGAATTGAACTTGAGACAAAGAAGTTGGGTTGAGCTTCTAAAAGATTATGATCTAATCATTGATTATCATATGGGTAAGGCAAATGTGGTAACAGATGCATTAATTCGAAAGATTTTTGATTCTTTACGAGCCTTGGATGCACGTATTTCAGTAAAGAAAGATGGCACTTTAAATGCTCAGCTTAAGTTAAAGCCGACGTTTTTGGATCGGGTTAAAGAGTTGCAAAAGTTAGATGAGAAATGTTTGAAGATAATGGAACAAGTCGGAAGGAATGAAGTCAAAGACTTTAAAATAAGAGTGGATGGATGTCTATACTATAAGGGGAGACTTTGTATGCCCGACGATGATGAATTGAAGAGAGATATACTGTATGAGGCAGATTATAGCCCTCTGACTATGCACCCAGGCGGAAATAAAATGTATCAAGACTTGAAAAGTCGTTACTGGTGGTTTGGCATGAAAAGAGTTGTAACAAAATTTGTTACTAAATGTCTAACATGTCAGCAAGTGAAAGCTGAACATCAAGTGCCATCTGGATTACTGTAGCCTATATATATTCCTGAGTGGAAGTGGGAATGGGTAACAATGGATTTTGTTTCGGGGTTACCGTTGTCACCAGGTAAAAAGGACTAGATATGGGTTATAGTGGACATATTAACCAAGACATCTCATTAGCAAGTGAAAGCTGAACATCAAGTGCCATCTGGATTACTGTAGCCTATATATATTCCTGAGTGGAAGTGGGAATGGGTAACAATGGATTTTGTTTCGGGGTTACCGTTGTCACCAGGTAAAAAGGACTAGATATGGGTTATAGTGGACATATTAACCAAGACATCTCATTTTATTCTGGTACGAGTATACTACTCGATGAATAAGTTTGCAGAGTTGTATATAAAAGAGACAGTCAGACTGCACGGAGTACCGATATCGATAGTGTCCGATCGAGACCCCAGATTTACTTCAAGATTTTGGAAGTCTTTGCATGAGGCATTGGGTACTTGATTGAATTTCAGCACAACTTTCCATCCGCAGACAGATGGGCAATCAGATAGAGCCATTCAAATTTTGGAGGATATACTAAAGGCATGTGTGATTGATTTCAAGGGAACATGGGATAAATATTACCGTTAGAGGAATTCATGTACAATAATAGTTATCAATCGAGTATTAAGATGGCCCTGTATGAAGCTCTATATGAGAGAAAATGTAAAACACCATTAAATTGGTTTGAATTGAAAGATCGAGATCAGATAGAGCCAGATTTGATGAAAGATATGAAAGATAAAGTGAAAATTATTCGGAATAATCTAAAGATAACCTCGGATCTTCAAAAGTCATACGCAGATTTGAAAATGAAAGAAATAGAGTACCAAATGGGAGGCAAAGTATTTTTGAAAGTATCGCCATCGAAGAATATATTATGTTTTGTGCGTAAAGTAAAATTGAGTCCTAGATTTATTGGACCGTATGAGATATTAAAAAGGGTTGGACCCGTGGCTTATCAGTTAGCTTCGCCTCCAGATATGGACAAGATCCATAATGTTTTCCATGCATCGATGCTAAGGAGATCCAGATCAGATCCCTCGCATGTTATCACTCCTGAAGAGATAGAAATTCAACCAGATTTAACATATGAGGAAGAACCAGTGAGGATATTGGCTAAGGAAATCGAAGAATTGCGTAGCAAGAGGATTCCATTTGTCAAAATGCTTTGGCAGAATCATAAAGTGGAAGAGGCTACCTGTGAAAGAGAAAAGGATATGAAATAGCAGTTTCATCATCTCTTTGCTTCAGGTACTTCTTTAAAATTCGAGGATGAATTTTTTTAAGGGGGAGAATTGTAATGCCAAAATACTGATATAGGGACTATATTGAAATGATTAAAAAATATTAGGATTTATTCTATTAATAATGAAAGATAAGAATGGTTAGGATTAATGGTTAAGACTAAATTATGACTATGGATTATTAAGAGGGCATTTTGGGTATTTTATATGAAAGAGAATTTAAATGTATTTTAAATTGGTATAATAATATAACGTAAAAGGGGATTAGGTTGAAAAAGGTTTCTTTCTTCTTTTTTCTTCTTTTCCTTGTAGAAGAGTTCTCTCATAAGCTTAAAAGTAAGTTTTCAATCTAATGGTTTATTCCTTCAATTTTTGCTAGTTAATGAATACTTGTATATGATGGAAGATTAATGAATGCATATATGGGATTAAAACAAGGAGATAAAGGAAATAAAAAAGATTTTAGAAAATGGGTTTTATAATGATATGTTAATATATGAAGGTTTATTGAGATTTGTTTGTAAAATTGACTTGTCATTAAGGTAAATGAAAGATTAGAAACATTGGTTGAGTGAAATAAAAAGATAGAAATTGTGGTGTGATTCTTAGTATCAAATGCTCTTAAGGAATATTGGATGTTTTAAGTGTCTAAATGAAGGAAAGGAAGTAGGGTTAAGTAGAGAAGTGTTATATAGTATTGCTAAGGGAAAATTGGCCAAAGTTGGTTAAATTTCCGGTTGAAAACTGGAAAATATGGGCAGGGGTATCGGTACTGATAGAACAATACCAATATCATAGGGAAAAATCAGGCTAAATCATCTGAGAAGTATCGATACTGATTCAATCAGTATCGATACCTAACAAAGTGGTATCGATACAATGGTGAGGGTATCGATATCGGGTAACAGCGAACCTAATTATGGTATCGATACCATATAGGGGTATCAGTACCATAGTATAGTAGTATTGATATCATGGAAGGGTATAATTGGGAATCACTATTGATATACTGTATTAATAGTGGGTATATCGAAATAAACTACTGAGGGTAGAAAAGGCAAGGCCAAGTCCGCAGAAACGAAAGTCAGTATTTATTAATGCAATTAGATAAAATTGATTACATGTATTTATATTAATGTGTTACTGTATAATGTATGTTTTACTGTAATTACTATGTTTTATTGTGTATGAGTTCGAGTATGAAAATACAAATGCATATGGGTGCATTATTAGCACGAAATGATGCCATAGTTGAAATGTATATGGGTACATTATCAACATAAAGGTATACTATAGTTAAAATGTATATGGGTACATTATCAATGAAAAAGTATGCTAGAGTTGAAATCCATATAGGTGTGTCGTAACTGGCTTTCGTCCGGGTATGAAATTTTTATTTTGCGGGAAAAGTGATGTGAATAAATGATTTTTTTAAATAATTTGGGAGTCACCATCGGCCTTTTGGGTCAGGTAGGTCGAATACCTAAAAAATATCTTTTAAAAGAGTTCTTAAGAAAACATCAGTTAAAAGATAAACTGATCTGCGTTTTAACCAAAAATTCGTTCTTTTTAATAATAAAAAAGGGATTCGGTCGGTTACGTTTAGGGAAGGATTAACACCTCTACAACGCCCAAAATTGGTACTTTTTAATTATAAATTGTCTCTATTATTAGAAATTTAAGAATTCAAAGATATATTTAATTTATAATTATGTTATTTTCAAATTTATAATTTTACAAAAATATATTAATATATAAATATAAAAGATATCTAATTATCTAGAAATATCAGAAAATGGCTTCTAGGTGCTTTAAGAAAGCTCATTTCTTTGATATTAAAAAATAAATAAATATCAAAATATGATTATTTTTCTTAAAAGTAATTTATAAAATTAAATAAATAGGGTTTTTATTTTTATAAAAATAAATAAACAAATATCATTTATTATATATATTTATACATAATAATAATAATAATAAAAAAAAAATATAAAACAATAACTAAAAATAATGAAATTAAAACTATAAATAAAAAAAACTAGTAATTAACTTAAAGTATTAAAATTAGTGACTAAATTATAATATTTTAAAATTAAATAATCTAATTTGCAATTAATTATTTAATATTACAGGGACTAAGCATGCTATTTTACCTATTTATTAATTTAGTGACTAGATTACAATTATATAAAATTCGTATATCAAATTAAAATAAGTTTAAAACATGTATTCGGGATTAAAATAAAATTAATTAGAATTAAAGGACTAAATCGGTTATTTGTCTAAAATATTTATGTCAGTGACTAAATTATAAAGAAATAACATTAAGAGATTAAATTAAAAAGTTCATAATTTGATTTCAGTGACTATAATGAAAAATTACAAAGCTACTGGGCTGCGGACAGGGTTTGTCCTTTAATTAATTACAGACAGAACCCTCCCCAAAACGACGTCGTTCGGGGAGGGGTATTTAAGTCCCAAACCCCACGGCCTTAAGGCCATTTCTCTCTTTCACTTTCTCTCTCTAAATGAGAGAGTTATAAAACTCTCTCGCTTCTCTCTAAAACAGAGAGAAGCAGCACCGGCCGGAAGCCGTTCGTCGGTGTTGAACCCGCCACTGGCCACCGCATCCGGTGGCCGAATTTTTTTTTTTTACACCAAAATACAGATCGGACCGTCCTATTGATGGTTCCGATGACCGTTTCTCTTAAAAAACTCCCGATCGAAGCAAATCTACGAAAATACCTTCGGGTTTTCGTAGGCCTTTGGTGATGTTTGGAGGCTTGTGTGAACTCCGGCGATGGCGGGGCTTTGTTGGTAAGTATCCCTCGTATTTTCCTTGCTATTATGGTTGCTGAGTTGCTCTCTGTATCTTCTCTTCTCTTTTTTTTTACTTTCTGTTTTTCTCTTGGGTTGCTGTCGTGTTTTTCTGTTTGCAGGTGGTCGATGGCTTTTATAGCCATCGACGGTGTGGCTCTCGGACCAGTTAATAAGGTGGTTGTTTAGTGAGTCACCGGATTTCCAGTGGTGACTCACTGTAGAGCGACGTGTGCGGCTAGAAGGGCTCTTCTGGAAGCCTTTGGTGGACGTCGTGGCAGCAGCTGAAACGGAGTGAACTGGCGGCAAAAGCAACGACGGCCGCGTGGCCCTAGGGTGATGATACCCTAGGATTTTTTCTGGAGACATCTGGGCCGTTGGATCAAATCAGATCCAAAGGTGGAAAGAGAGAAGGCGGCTGGATGAAGATATTGAAACCCTAGTTGGGTTTAGGGTTTCTATTGGGCTGTTATAACTGGGCCGGTTATTGTTGGGTCTGTAAATGGGCTGGTCCAGTCTGAATTGGGCCTGTAATAATATTTAATAATAATAATAATAATAATATAAATAATATTCAAATGAAAAAATGAGTATCTTCAGCTGCCCCTCTTTGCTTATTCTTGTGTTAAAAAAGAATAGAGCAAAGACGAAAAGATAATAAGTTTTTTTCATTTGACTTCACTTGATTATGATGGGAATGTTGAAATAATTCTTCTTTGGGATTAGCTCTTCTCATTATGAACTTTTCCACTGGGGATGACAACTCATCTCCTTTTGTGATGTAATCTAGCAAAGGTTGAATAAACTCTTCTCATTGTGAACTTCTTCTTCTTCATATGAATTCTTCTCATTATGAATTCCTTCTGGAAATGCTGATGACGATATATCTCTTTCTGTGATAGAGTCATGCAAAAGGTCGAACAAGCTTTTCTCATTATGAACTTCTTCTTCCTTCTTCAGATGAATTCTTCTCATTATGAACTTTCTCTGGAAAAGTTGATCCATCAAGTGATGAATTTAAGAAAAAAGTTGAATAAGTTCTTCTCATTATGAACTTCTTCTTTCTTCTTCAGTTGAGTTCTTCTCATTATGAACTTTCTCTAGAAAAGCTGATCCATCAAGTGATGATTTGAGCAAAAGGTTGAACAAATTCTTCTCATTATGAATTTCTTCTTCTTTCTTTAGATGAGTTCTTCTCATTATGAACTTTCTCTGGAAAAAGCTGATCCATCAAGTGATGGATTTGAGCAAAAGGTTGAACAAATTCTTCTCATTATGAATTTCTTCTTCTTTCTTTAGATGAGTTCTTCTCATTATGAACTTTCTCTGGAAAAAGTTGATCCATCAAGTGATGGATTTGAGCAAAAGGTTGAACAAATTCTTCTCATTATGAATTTCTTCTTCCTTCTTCAGATGAGTTCTTCTCATTATGAACTTTCTCTGGAAAAAGCTGATCCATCAAGTGATGGATTTGAGCAAAATGTTGAACAAATTCTTCTCATTATGAATTTCTTCTTCCTTCTTCAGATGAGTTCTTCTCATTATGAACTTTAACTGGAAAAGCTGATCCATTGTGATGGATTTGAATCTTTGCTAAAATCTTTGAAATTCCTGTCAACATTTAACATGGATAAAATGAATGGAAATGCACCTATTTTTGCAAATGCCTAAATATGATGCATGAATATTAAGTTCATTTTTATTTGATTTCAAATTGGTGAACTCGATATTTCTTCAATTGTGTAGAAATACAATAAATCTTTCCTCTTCGAATGGAGAATCTATCATCTTTGAAGAGTGTAGATGTAGATATGCCTGAATTTTTGCATGATGTCACAAAACCACTTGAGAATAAAACTCAATAGTATAGGCTCTTGAAAAGCTCGCACTCATGCAACATGTTGATTCTGATAACTACTTATCTGATCATGAAGTGATCTTTCAAGATGATTTCACAGATATTGATAGTTCTTTTGATACCGAGAAAATCCTGAATTCTGATTCTAATGAGGAGAGTAAATTGTTATACTTGACGAAAATGGGATACTCAAATGCTACGTCTTCAATAGACATAGAGATATGATCCTGCTTCATCAATTGCAGAGTTGACAGATTTTATATGTGCTGCTCAAATGGCTAAGGCTGCTGACACACTTCTTCCGGTA